ACTCCTAAGAATATTATTGCAGGTCCCACCTAGGCTCAACATGGTGTTAGGACACTAGTTGCTGAAAATCAACATACTAATCTCCTTCTTCTTTTGGAAACCCATTTTCCACCTCAGCTCCCATGATATTTTGCTTCTGATTCTGCTCTTATATCTCTGAATTGTCTCTTTTTAGCATCCTTTGTTGATTCCTTTACCTCTAGATGGACTTAAATGTGAATTTCCATTGAAGATTCTTATTCAATTCATTTCATCTTTTCATATTTACTGTTTTGCTTGAATGACATTTTACCCTGCTCAGGCTTTATTTGTATAGAGTGATTTTCATTGGTCCGTTTCCCATTCAGATTTCTCTTTGTGCTCCAGAACTTCATATCAGCTTTCCATCTGAATATCTTCATCTGGGAAAGCCATGGACACACCCAAACTCAGCATGTGCCAAATGGAATTAATCACATTTCCTACCTTACCTAACACACTATCCCCACTGCATTCCACTTAGAGAGATTTCCATCACTAGTCCTGTATAATTCGTTCACTTATTTGATAATTATTTTAATCATTTATTGGATAACAAGCAATTCTAGAAGACATTTGAGAATCATGATTTAGGTCCTCAAAAAGTCAAGTTAATGAGATCAATAAGTAAGTCTTCTGAGTGTATCTCAAAGCTTTTAATTGGTACCCTTATGTCAAGGAGGTAAGACCAATAAACCCCCTGTTTTTCAAGTACTGCAGGATCCCTTTGGGCTTATAGCATACACACAATTCTGAAGGATGGATAAGTCCTCCAATAATTGAAGGAAATAATAGTCTTCATTTTTCAATGTGAAGTCAGATCCTGTAAATAAAACAGTTTGTTTGAGAAACTTGATATCTTTCACTTCTCCTTTCTCAAGTGCCCTTACCTCACCATCAGAGCGACCATGGTGTCCACTGACTACCTGCAAACTCGTGTAGATTTATAGTCTACGTGTTCAGTTTAAAAGAGTCCCTTGTCGAATTTCAGTTGGAGCTCTTTACCTTCTGTGGAACCACTCTCCAGGTGAGCTGTGAGGTTGTCAGGGGTTATGGATGTGTCTTGTGCTCACTTCATAAAAACTTGTCTCCAAGACATAATCCAACTCACCCTTCCTTCCTTACAGACTCTAGTGATGCCAAGAGTCAATGTACTTTTCATACATTATATGAAAAGTAATATATTTAAAACAAACAACAACAGTAAAAATGAAAGACAACGTCACCATATATTCCCATCAATTTCAAACATTCAAGAACATCATACCCATTAGCATGGATAATATTGAAGAAAAAACCTAGAGAATAAAAAGTGTCGGCGAAGTTGTGGAGATATTGGAATGCTTTTGCATTGCTGATGAGAATATAAAATAGTGCAGCCACTGTGGAACAGTGCAGCAATTCCTCAAAAAATTAAACATAGAATTACCATATGATCCAGCAACTCCACTTCTGGATATACGCCCAAAAAGTGAAAAGTGAAAGCAAGAATTTGAACAGATATTAGCACACCAATGTTCATAACAGCATTATTTGCAGTAGCCAAATGGTGGAAACAACCCATCCACTCAACATGTAAATGGGTAAAGAAAATGTGATATATGTATAAAATGGCATATTATTGAACTTTATAAGTAATGAAATTCTGACACATGCTAAAATATGAATGAACATTGAACACATTATGGTAAGTGAAATAAGCCAGACACTAAAGGACAAATATTATATAATTCCACTTCTCTGAGGTATCTAGAGTGGTCAAATTCAAATAGACAGAAAATGGAATGGTGGCAGGGGTTGGGAGGGAATGGGGAATTAGTGTTTGATGGATACAGAGTTTCAGTTTGGGAAGATGAAAAGTTCTGGAGATGGATACTGGTGATGGTAGCACAACGATGTGAATGTAGTTAATGCCACTAAACCATAGACTTAAAAAGTGGTAAGTTTTATATTAAATATGATTTATCAGAAAAATAAAATAGAAAAGTTAAAATTAAAATTTAGAAAAGATAATCTTCAAAGAAAGGTGAGTTCCTCTCAAGAAAGAAGAATTGATTAACCATAATTTTGAATGCAGAAAAATTATATTTTAGTGTCTTAATAGTGTGCACCTTATTTCTTAGGGAGGAAAGTATTTTTGATGGGAATATTTTAATTTAAGGGCTGGATATGGAAGGTAAACCCTAAGGGTATTGTTTTACATAATACAGGTTGAAGAATTTGAGGTTCTAGGAAGTCTTGGGTGAGGGTGTAACCATCAAGGATGGGAGAGAAATAGTGACAAACTGTGGTCTGTATCATATATTCCTTTGCAGCAATCCCCAAATCTTCATCAGACTCTACTACACTCACCAATACTTGACGTGCATGATTTTGTTGAGGAAATCAAAGAAAGACTTAGCTTTACAGCCAGGTGATGTGACAGGGTTAGAGAAGATCTGGAGGATACAAACGTCCATGAAAATGGTCAGAAATCTCTGGAAGGGCTTTGGATTCCCTTAGCTTTTGGAACTTATAAGCTCCAGGACATTTCACCTAACTTTCAAGGAAGACAGAGCTTCACAGATCTTATCTGGATTCTAAATTCATTAGCTGAAATCTTGTTTTTATGAAAACAGGGAAAAATATCCCTCGATGATAGGAGTCATTATTTTAGGAAAATAATCATTTTTATTAGTTCCTATTGGACAAAAACTCTAAATGTTTACATGAAGCATTGGTTTCTCTTAGAGAATCAGATAACATGAACATTCTTCCCCATAATAAAACACTTGGGGATACTGGTGTAAAATATGCTAGGTATGCTGCTGTGAAGACCTCCAGTAAATTGACCCTATGCGCTCTTAACAGGTTATTTATCTTCTACTTTCTTGTTCATATTGCATGTCTTCACATAGTATATTTAACATGCTCGTTTTAAATTCTGGTTCATCTGGTTCAATCATCCACTTTCGGGGGACATATATTGTCCAGATGGCTATCTTTCTTTTGGAGTCCTTTAGTGCTGTCAGTTACCCTGCTATTGATTTCTGCAGTAAAAATCAGGTAAATTGTCTCAAAGCAAAGAAGGAGTCAGGCAAGAGCAGAGCTGAAACGATTTCCACCACCTGGTTTTCCCACTGCACTCTTGGTCTCACCTCTCATCTTACTCATATTCCAGCCCCAAATAGCTTCCATCTTTCCAGAAGCTTCTCATGGATTTTGGTTAGTCTCTAGTATTCATATTTGCTTCTTGCCCTATCAGGTTCCTCTGGGGAAGTAGCCAGGAGATGATGCTAGCTTGCAACTTTAGAAGACTCCAGAAGCCATTGCTCTCAAATCTCATACATATTTATAATGTCAGCTGGATTTTTCTTGTCTGAAACATAATGACAATTTATCACAGGATCTCAGGCATCTCTGAAGCAATAGATATCATTTTTTTTTATAGTTAGGGAATGATCGGCAATCTAGCAAACTTATCTAATTGAATTAAAAAAATGCCAGGTACTCCTTTTAAAGAAAAGAAATATACTTTCCTTAGTGTGATTTACACTGATTGTTTACATTTCTATGATTTTCTGTAGAAATTCTCCCCATTTACCAGCAGAAACTCCATAAGACACACCAGCTGCTGTTATAAAAGGTTTTAATGAGTTATGATACACAGAATTCACAAAGTAATCAGTTACAGAACATTGCCATCTGGACTTGAGATAATTTCATCTTGTTTATATCCATGGAGATTCACTCAGGGTGGAATTTTCCTCTCTGGAGGCATCTTCTAAGAGGTACTAGTCACTGACCAGAGCTCATTGGCACAACGAGTGACCATCAATGTCAGATGCAGCCAGATCAGGGGTCTCTTCTCAAAGGTACTTGACGGGGTTGTTGCCTTTGGAATTTGAAAGTCAAGAAATAGATTACATTAGAATATCTATATTCACTCTATATAGTGCACTATGTAAATTTAATAAAAATTAAGACAAATGTAAACATTTAAAGAAATTTGGATTGGAAGTAAACTAAGAAGAAGCAAATGGAAGATGCTGGTTCTGGAACTGAGTCCTTCTCAGATTCTATTTTCCCAAGTCCCTCTGTTTATTTTGTTATCCTACATTAATCCAGACTGGACTATCCTTCCTAGCATACTAAGAGTAGAGGATTAGAATATTTTATTTCAACTCAGGCACGTGTGTTCAATCACATATGGGGAAATAGGCATTATATTATTATCAACGAACAGAGGCAAAAAGAGGATTTCTAAAGAGAGAGGATAGAAGATAAAGAAACAAACTCTCCAGCAGTCTGGGAACCATGAGTATTATTTTCTTTATTTTGGGGTATGCTGAATAGGGGGCGCCTTGCACAGAGGCCTGTCTGAATGGTCTGCCTTGAGCAAGCTGTCTGGGGTCATCGAACACAAAGCAACTTCAGTTAATTGTTAGTCATCGCAAAATCCTTGGGAATCCATCTGCAGGAAGAAAGACAAGCTGTCTCTGGGTAACCTCTGCAGGGTTCCTTCAGCACCCCCACCTTACCTGGGCCAGGTTTACGCCATCTCCTTCATCATCAGAATCTTCTCAAAGGCAAAATATTTCCTTCATGACCACCTTTTTTCATTCTTACATTGCAAAACCCCAAATCAGCTAAGTCTGGGGTTCTGTGTGTGTGTTGGGGGGGTGGCGATGTTTTCCCACTAGAAAATAAAACAAAACAAAACAAGAACTTACTGCAACAGGCACTGGTGCAATAGTTCCTAATTTAAACACATCTCAGGACTCCTGCATCACTGCAAAGATAAAATCTTGGTTACCGGCCCATATGCCACACTGGGCCACTGTGGAACTGCCCAGCTCCAAAAGTTTCTGGGGCAGAACCAGCTGTCTGATACCAGAATGGTTAAGGAATAGCCTTCTTTGGTGCTTTTACTCCCCTAGAAGGCTTAGTAGTAGAGACACTAATTTGCAGGCGTACTGTCTTTACTAGGAGCCATGAACTATGCAGTGGTGAGGGAGTCTCCTGAGCTTGCAAGGTAAAGTGAAGGGTGTGGGGCTGGGAGGAGGCAGCCTGCATGCCCCAGGCAGGGACAAGTAGAGGGACACCTGCCCCAAAGGAACAGCAAAGGAGCTGTGGGGATGCGCATGCTGCCTAAACCCAGCCTAGCCTAGACCAGTCCAGTCCAGCCGCATGTGTCACAGAAGAAGCTTTGCAGGAGAAAACAGGGTTCCTGGATCATCTAAGCCAAGGACCTGGCAAGAGACGCCAGGCTCAAGGGAACAAGCAGAGACAATGACATCAGAGCTGTGACATCACTGCCTAATCTCCAATCAGAGAAGGGACACCCAGGACTTCATCTCTTAGGGGACCAGAACTCTAAGCAGGGAGACACCTGCCCAGTTCTGCTCCACCTGCCATGGGCTCCAGGCTCCTGTGCTGTGTGGCCCTTTGTCTCCTGGGAGCAGGTACTACGCCTGACAGCACCCAAATCCGAGGCACCAACGTACTCCCTCCTGTGTTCCTTCTCCAGTCCCTGTCTTCTTCCCTCACAGGCCCAGTGGATCCCGGAGTACCTCAAATACCAAGACACCTGATTAAAACAAGAGGGCAGCAAATGACAATGAGGTGTTCACCCATCTCTGGGCACAACAGTATATCTTGGTACCAACAGGCCCTGGGCCAGGGCCCCCAGTTCCTCGTTCAGTATTACGATGGGGAAGAGAATGATAAAAGAAATATCCCGGATCGATTCTCAGGGCAACAGTTCAGTAACTATAGCTCTGAGCTGAATGTGAGCATCTTGCAGCTGATGGACTCACCCCTGTATCTCTGTGCCAGCAGCGTGACACAGCCCTGCAGAGTCACCAATGTTCTGTGCACAAACCTCCCTGCCCCAACGTGGAGCAACGTTAGAGCTGACAGATCTATGAGAACCTCAAGTCTGCAGTGGGAAAGAGAAATGACTTAGGGCCCTGGAAATTGCAGCCTCGGGCTCTTCTGCCACTCAGGGACATGGGACAACAGGGAACAAGAAGATTTGTTCAGAGAATGGTGCTGCAGGAATAGGTTCACTCCAAAATCACCTTCCTTGCCTGGCCCTCTAAGATACAATGGTAGAGGGAAGAGTTTGTAATTTATAGATGGTACACTCTTCTTTCAGGAGGGAGAGTTCATTGAGGGATCAAAATTATTTGATAAATATATAGTCTAGAAGATAGAATCATAGGGATATGGTTTATATAATTTAAGGAGAAGAAACTGAGATTTTGGGAAAGTCTAGGAGAGAAAATATAATTAAAAATGCTTGACAATAGAGAGCTTCAAGTATATAAACAAAAAACCAAAAAACTGTCCTATTTGTAACACAATCTCTTTTCTCCCCTCCTCCCGATGTCTTCAATACGCAGACAACATAAAGCAAGGCCTTAGAGCACCGGCGTCACCCAGCGGCAGCTCCCTGGTGAGGACATCACCACGCAGATGCAGTGATGATGGTGAGAACCCTGGAGTCGATGCTCATTCCTTCCTTCTTGACTCCTCACCTCAATCCTCCCACCTCGGGCACAGTCAAGCGTCTCCCAAACACAGACGAGGGCACGCCGTCCCTGACTGTAACAGGCAGAGGCTCTCCAGTTTCCCCCAGATCAGTTCTGCTTCCCTGGAACAGCTCTGACACTTCACCACCCAGGTTCAGTCACCTTCAGAGCCTCGCTTCTTGGCTGTCTCGGGATGCGTCTGCTTTGTGACCACACAGCTCTTCACCACATTCCTACAACACCAATGCCCTTTAAATCCTCTACACCTGCTCTTCTGTTCCCATGGCCTGGAAGGCCCTTCCCTTCACCACCAACATGGACAGATACTATTCATCTTTCAAGGACTGGCTCAGACGTGCCTTCCTCTTTGCTTATCTCCCTGACATTCCACAGCACTGTACCATTGATTAGTCTACTCAGGTTGTCATAACAAAATACTGCAGACTGCGTGGCTTAAACAACAGACATTTATTCTCTCACAGTTCTGGAGGCTAGAAGTCCAAGATCAAGGTGCTAGGGTTGGTTTCTGGTGAAAACTCTATGCCTGGTTTGGAGATAGCCGCCTTCTGGCTGTGTCCTCACACGGTCTCTCTGTGTTCAGGTGGAAAGAGAGAAAGAACTCTCTGTGTCGCTTCTCCTTTTTATAAAGACACCAGTCCTATAGGATCAGAGTCCCAACCCTATTATGTCATTTAAGCTTAATTACTTCCCCAATGGCCCTATCTTTACATATATTCACACTGGGGGTTTAGGATTTCAACATAGGAATTTTGGGGACACAATTCCATCCATAAGTATATTGCTCCCTTTCCTTACCTCCTAGGAAAATCAAGTATATAATTGATACTCTTTTACACTTGTAAAATGAATAAATAAATGCTCACTTATATAGAGCCATGAAGTATTATTATTCACTGTTTTCCCTTCACGACAATCCTCTCTTATCTGAAATATAAAGGGTAGTCATTGTGGATAGTCTTGTCTTTCCATACACCTTCTGCAATATTGTGAGCAATTGTGCTTTCATAGCCAGGACTGATGACCAGTCCTGTAAAGGACCCTAATTGTATCTAAAGCTGAAGTATGCTGATGTTCTTTTGGAGGAGAGAAAATTATGTTACAGTACTATTCATCCAGTCTCACGATCCTGTAAAGAATTTTCCATCACCAGCCACCATCACATCTTTAGAGACATCTCTTGCCATCATCAAGGGTGCTTCTCAGAAATGAACCTGAAAAACTGATCAAGAAAAATTGATGTTCTCAGTAATAAAACCTTGATATCCTTGCTAATTAAAGTATAAGTGTGTGTGTGTGTGTGTGTGTGCACGCACGCGTGCACATGTGTGTTTTCTTGTGGAGACATATAAAGTGGAAATAGTTTCTCTCTGGGTAGAATTTATTAAGAGGCATTGGGTCGCTGAGCAGAACTCATAGGTCCTTCTGGTTGGTGATAGTAAATGTTAGGCTCAATTGGATAGACCTTAATTATGGCTGCGGGGTTTTTTATTTCCAGATTTTATAAGTTCAGAAATAAATATGTAAAATGTACAAACTCTCTTTACAAAATACACTGTCTAAAATTTGGTAATAATTAATTTAAATAGAAAATCTGGAAATATGTGGATCTGACTAATCGAGAGGAGCTATGGAATATAGTGTTTCCAGCCTGGATAAGCTTGAGATTATCAGACTGTTTATTTTTATGGTCTGTATTATTTTGGTTTGTCTATTCCATTTAGCATACTAATTGCAATGGTGCAGCAATTATTTCCTTGTTATTCAAAATGTTGGTTCAGACAATCTGTTGCCCCCACAAGCTAAGGACGGATTTGAGATCATCCCTAAATCAGCCAGGCTGGGAGAGCAGTAGAGTGGGTGTGTGTCGGGGGGGTAGGGTGCAAGGGCTGCATTCATGGGGGTTGGGGGAATTTCTATTCTTTATTAAGCAGAAGGTGTGAATCCATGAGACTGTGGACCTTCAGCCACTTGGAGGCGCTGTGGAGTCACAGTACTTACTGCAAGGCCCCCTGGGAGGGTGTGAGTGGCCCAGGAGAGGACAGTTAAGCGAATTCTGGTACATGCCTGCCTCAGGGAGAGGGTTTGAGTTCACTGAGTTCACTGGTCTGGGGACACATGGAGTTAACAGGCTCTCACTGCCCAGGGAAGTGGAAACCCGCCTTGAACCTCAGTAGGCGCCAAGGAGGCCATCTCCTGAGCCTGCACAGGAAGTGGAGGGTGAAGGGGTGGGGGCGGCAAGGGCTGGGTAATCGGTGTCAGGTAGGGGCAGGCAGAGGGACATCAGGTATGTTGTAGGCTATGGGGATGGTGCTCAATTCACACCCACCCTTTGTTGAGGGGCTGGGCAGGACAGGAATGGCGCCTAGAGTAGCCCACCCTGGGTCCTGCCAAGGGGGACAGTGGGCTGGGGGCATCTGTGAGAGAGTAACAACAGAGCTGTGACGTCAGAGCAGTGACATCACAGGCAAATGCTCCTATCAGGGAACGGGAGGTCAGAACCACTCACCCCAGGAGACCCCGCCCCTGAGCCAGGAGATGTCTTGGGTTCCTGATGCTGCCATGGGCTCCAGCCTCCTCTTCTGTGTGGCTCTTTGTCTCCTGGGAGCAGGTGAGTCCTTGGCACAGTGTGAAAGCCTCTGCTGTGGGTTTGCCATGCCTGAAATACCAGCCTGCCGGTGATGGCTGCAGCAGGAGGCTTCCCCTGTGCTCTGCCCCCAGCTGCTTTCTGTCTCCTCCCCAACAGGCCCAGCAGATTCTGGAGTCATTCAAACACCACGACACCTGATCAAAGCAACAGGACAGCAAGTGACAATGAGATGTTCCCCTATGGCTACACATCTCTCTGTGTACTGGTACCAACAGGCCTACAGTCAGGGCCCCAAGTTCCTCTTTCAGTATTACAATGGAAAAGAGAACGAAAAAGGAGCCATCCCGGCTCGATTTGCAGGGCAACAGTTCCTTGACCAAAGCTCTGAGCTGAACGTGAGCATCTTGGAACCGACGGACTCGGCCCTGTATCTCTGTGCCAGCAGCTTGGCACAGCCCCGCATGATCAGCAGCCTCCAGTGCAAAAACCTTCCTGCCCCAGCTCAGGAAGTGACAGCGAGGGTGGCGGCTGCCAGTCAGACAGGCTCAGGCCCTCATGTATCAGACATGATACAGACATCAGGCTTTTCCCAGACACTCTTACTGCTGCTTCTATATGTGATATGTTTTATGCTCACAGAAATTATGCAAAATAAGTATTATTTACCTGTTTTCATATGTGAGGGGAAGTAACTTTCCCAGGTTTCACATTTCATAACTGGCAGAACAAGGAATCAAACTCAAGTCTGTTCCTCAACTCCCGTGGTCCCGCTGCCCCCAGACCTGTCCTCTCATCTGGCCTCCCTTTTCTAGGTCCAGATTAGCAGGACGGGAAGGTCATGCATCATATATGATTATCATGACCTCTTTCCTGACAACTTCAAGGAACATATGACTTCAAGGCAAAGAATATCCATTGATACTTCATTGTGGCAAAACAATAAGGGCACAATTTTCTGCATTGTAGCTGCTGCATGGACCTACGTCGTGTGTTATCTTTCAGGGAGGCTGTGTGAGTAGGGAGGTTTCCAGATCTGCCTTCCCAGCTGCACAGCAAAGGGAATGGAATATTTGCAAGGAAAAGTGCATCTTTCTGTACATGATACAATTTCCATGAGGGAAAGGCACATAGATAATTATTATTTCTTTCTTAGGTTCTTTTACTCAACAAACATTTTTGGTCCCTTACTTTGTACAAGGTATTGTACCACATAAAGTAGAAAGTGAAAATAAGTATGTTTCTTGCCTTTGAGAGGTTTAAGGTCTGCATTATTAAATGTATAATATTTACCTTGAACATTTCACTGTTTCTATGGAAACCACCTTTCACATGAGTGCAGGTCATTACAGAAGTGTAAGCGCTGAGAACATTAATGCACAGAGTTCAGTTCTGCTCCAGGTAGAAGACTCAGAAAAATTATGCCATCATTTATTGACAATTTACTATATACCAAGTAAAAGTCCTTCATTTTTAAAATTTCAATTAATTATCAGAGAAATACCTAAGAGGCAAATGCAATTACTGTTCTCATTTTAAAGATGAGGGAATTTGCCCTCGAGTTAAATAACTTGACCAAATCAAATAGCTATCAGGATGCAGAAGTGGGACTCAAACCCTGTCTGTCTCACTCTTCAGTCCCATGTTTGTAACTCGATGCCAGAATGCATTTTCATAAAGAGAGACGCCTACCTTCAAACCAGGCTGCTGTCCCAGAAGTCCCTTTCAGACATGCTGGCTCTAATGAAATCACTGCCAGGGATCAGTTTCCCCAGGAGAGAGTGGTGTAGAGAAAGAGCCCTCACCAGGTGCCATGTACACCTGGCTCTGATGCCAATTCCAACACTCGCTGCCAGTCAAGACCTGAGGCCAGTTTCTTGACATGTGAGGCTGGGTTTTTTCATGTATAAAATGAGACTAATAATATCTATCTGTATTAATCAGGGTTCTCCAGAGAAACAGAATTTATATGCGCGTGTGTGTGTATGTGTGTGTGTGTATATATATATATATATTTTTTTTTTTTTTTTTTCTATTTGTTATAAGGAATTAGCTCACACAATTGTGGAGGCTGATAAATCCAAAATCTGCAAGCTGGGCTGGTGAGGCTTCACTGACTAGGTGCCTCCAGAAACTCAAAGTTGGGTTTGGAAGCAATTAACTGTTTTTCCAAGTTGTTTCTTTTCCTTTTGTTTGTTAAGGAGCTGTAACCACCAGCCACCCTGAAACTGACCAAGCCTCATCACAAGAGCTATGCCCATGACCTTTGCCTTATTTTTAATGCAAAGATCTCTCCAGGAGGAGCTTAGGCCTCATTATGTGGAAGCATGTTCTCCAACTGAGCTTGTGCAAGGGAATATCTGCCTCTCCTTTTTGAATATTCATTTCACAATGAAAATAAAGATTCCTGATTCCCTTTGTTCGCAGATGCCATTACTTTGGAAATGATTCCTTGTGGCCTCCTATTTGCTGCAAATACACTTTACTTTGTGAGACAACTTCCACTGGTGTAGAGTCTTATTTAACTCACCAGGAGGTGAGCCTATTTGGTTTGGTAACAGTCCTGGAGACCCAGGGAGATCCCAAGTTTAAGTTTGAAAGCTGTTAGGCAGGAAGAGCTGATGTTGCAGCTGAAGGCCATCAGCTGGACTAGTCTCTCTTACCTGGGGGAAAATTGGTCTTTTTGTTCTATTCATGTCTTCAGCTGATTGGATGAGGTCCACCTACATTATGGAAGGCAATATGCTTTACTGATTAAAATGTTAATCTAATATTAAAATCTACCTATTTAAATGTTAATCTGATCCAAAAACACCCTCTCAAGAACACCCAGTATGATGTTTAACCAAATATCTGTGAACTCCAAGCCCCAGTCAAGTGGACACATTAAAGCAGCCATCATACCATCTTCCAGTGTTGTATAAAAGTTTAATAAGCATAAAGTGCCTTGCATCTAATAGAGATCTGTTGATTCCTTTTGCTCATCTCTGACAGCCTCTTCCACAATTTCCTATGTGCAAAGGTAGATATAGAGGCATTTTGCACAAAAACTGTATAGCTGAAGACTTCAGTATCACAGAAATGGAAATATTTATACTCGCTGATTCATTACATAAAATTAACTGGAGCGTGTAACATACATCCTTCCTCAGGCATTTTTAAATCAACTTTTTTGACATATGAATTATATACAAGAAACATTACATACTTTCATTGAACAGATCAATAATTTTTGAGGAATATATATGTATAGACCCACGTGACACTGACCCTATGAAGATATAAAACATTTCTATCACCCAGAAAGTTCCCTCAGGCCCCATTGCAATGGCTCTCTCCATCAATGACAACCAATGATGTGATTTCTATCCCTATAGATCAGTTTTGCTCAGGCACCTTTTTAATGGAAATTTAAAATCTCCACCAATCAAAACAATTCTTCTTTAGTACACAGGTAACCAGTTAAGAGAGTTAGGTGCTCCTGGAATGTGTTATGGTTAAAGAAGTTCTTGAAACCGTGGGAGATACCTGATCCACAGTAGGGACAATTCTATGTGGAGATAGATGGTTTGATAAAATGACCATCAGAAGGTCTTTCTAGGGGCCAGCCCTGTGGCCTAGTGGTTATGTCTGGTGCATTCTGCTTTGGCGGCCCGGGTTCATGGGTTCAGGTCCCAGGTGCAGACCTGCACCACTCATCAGCCACGCTGTGGTGGCGACCCACATACAGATGTTAGCTCAGGGCCAATGTTAGCAAAAAAAAAAAGGTCTTTCTAGCTGGTAGAAACTGCTTTTGTTATTTGTTTACTCACTTTTATTCATTTCTTTTCTCTTGCACCCAATCATTCAAATTATTCTGTAATGATATTTTGACAAAAACTCATCATCTCCAAGGAAATTATTTTGAGCCCCCATCAGACACACACATAGGTAGGCTTCCTGTTCACACACTGTTTTCTGCAGCTGAGCAGACCACTGGCAGTAGTGACTTTATTGAGAGATCATTCCATGTTGGGAGAAGGGTTTCCTCTGCCATGACCCCAGTGTCCATCCAACAAAAAATGAGCTTGAACTGGTAAATCCTTCTTTCTGCTCTGGCCTTTCCTGGGCACCAGTCTCCTGTGCTGTGTGTTCTTCTGTCTCCTGGACCAGAGAAGTCCCAGGCACGGATGTGGAACACACTCATGGGCTAACAAGGCCCCAGCTTCAAGGCTTGTTGTTGTGGTTACAACATCAGGCTCCTCCTTTAGGTTCTAACTTTAGTTTCTGTGTCCTTCTCTCCAAGACCCCAGAGACGCTGAGTCACACAGACCCCAGACATGTGGTTCTGCTGAAGAGAAACCAGCACATTGGGAGGTGACCACAGGTCCAAAACCATGTGCTCGGGACCAGCTACATAAGTTGCAGAGCCCGTGGTTCAAATGCTATTAAGAATCAGAATGTCATGACAGCAGAGTGTTGAACCAAGTACAGGGTCCATCTAAGTGTGGGACTGTGTGCAACAAGATACAGTTTTTGAGCTCCATGATATTTATTTCTTAATTAATGGCAGCCATTCTTCATTGGCTCCCCATGGAATCTCCCGAAGGAGATACTCCCCATGGAATGGATGTCTCAAACAAAAAACGGAACATTATTCACTTACCCTGGAGTCTGCCACCTCTCCTGAAGTCTCTCCCACATCTGTATTCTTTTGTGCCAGTAGACCATCTGCAGCGCTGAGCTGCCATCACCTCAGTCACAGGTGTGAGGCTGTTCTGCTTGTTGCTGTCTCACCCAAAACCTGGGAAGCAAGTGTTCTGGGGAACATGAAGGGGCTCTAGCTGCATTTGGCAGATGTCCCATCTGTCATGAATTGTTAAGAAACAGAGCAAAACGATTCCTCAAATGTTGATGATCCTGCCCCTGAGGTCTGGCATCCAGATACCAGGAGAATCATTGCAGGTGGAAGGACCTTAACAGGATGGCGGTCAATAAGCAAAGTGGAAAGGGATACCTGAAGGAGCATTTGTGTGGCATGAGTCAGAAAAGGCATTAGAAAGCCATAAGGATTTTCACTAAAATTCAAAGCCACGGAAATATGTAGATGCACAAAACCAATGAATTAATGAAAAATTATATCACAGGAATAAATACACATAAAGTTGCAAACAGTTTTGAAAAAGATTAACAAGGACTTGAGTCAATTCAGACAAATGCATTCTTCCCATTCTAAGCTGTTCCTTGTACATTTAATTTTGCTTTGACCCTCTGGGGGAAGGGGCGTGGCCCCTTATGACTGGTTGGCCCTGGGGCCCAGGCAGGGAGAGTGACATCTCAGAATGACTCCCGGGGGAGAGCCCCTTTCTCCTTCCATCAGCACACAGACCCAGGAAACCCCTCTGTCTCCCCTGCGCCTGCCATGAGTGTTGGCCTCCTGTGCTCAGTGGCCTTTTGTCTCCTGCAGGCAGGTGAGTCCTGGGCAGGGATTTTTTCACGAGTCAAAATTTCCAGGTCTCAGTGCTGAGCCTTTCCCTGTGTCTGCAGCATCAGCTTCATCTCCTTCTCCACAGGTCCAGTGAATGCCGGTGTCACTCAGAGCCCAAACTTCCAAGTCCTGGGGACAGGAGAGAAAAGGACACTGAGATGTACCCAGGATATGAGCCACGACTCTATGTACTGGTATCGACAAGACCTGGGACATGGGCTGAGGCTGATCCATTACTCAACCAGTGCTGGTTTCACTGAAAAGGGAGATGTTCCCAAGGGGTACAATGTCTCTAGACCAATTACAGAGAACTTCCTCCTCGAACTGGAGTCTGCTACCCACTCCCAGACTTCTGTGTACTTCTGTGCCAGCAGTTACTCCACAGTGCTGCACAGCTGACTCCTCTCTGCACAAAAAGGGAAATGGAGGCCCTGAACCCTAGGACTAAGTCGAACCCTTTGCACACTCTAGCACAGTGAGAAATTGGAGACCCGAGTGGCCCGTGTGTGCAGCGTGAACCCCAGTGTGTGTTGAGGTCCATCTCCAGGGCAGTTTCAGCCAGGCCTGGCCCTGACCACAGGCCCTTGGGCGGACATGTTTCCATCGTTGCTCTCTCTCTTTCCTCTGCAGCCGCCCCACTAGCTGGGAAGGTGCTTCCCCAGCTCTGACACTCTAGTCATGGGCCCGAGTCTAAGGCCTCCAGGATGGAATGTCCTTGGTAAGTAGATACATCTAGACCCCCTTGCCTCTCCCTGAGCACCTCACTGCTGTCTCTCTGTAAGGTCCTCCCCTAGCCCTGGCCCTCATGCGGTATCTGATCCTGCCCCCCTTTCCTGTTCAGGTCAGTCACCTCAGAAGCCCTGCTGGGTCTTTCCTTTCCCCATCTCCCTGGACCCAGCTTAAATAGCTTACCCATCACTCTCTACTCCAGCCACCCTGCTAGTCCCTCGTCTCTGTCATATCCCTTCCCATCTCAGAGACTTTAAAAGCTATTACCTCTGCGCTGGACATGGACCCTTCTTCTTTGTAGTGACTTACTCCTATCTCACACTCCCATTGAAGGTGCCACTGGGTGGCCAGATAGTTTTGGGTAGACTCGTTTCCTATCTGAATTATGGACACAGTTGGGATGTCTGCGTTCTGAATTTTCCAGGTCTCAACTGTAAAATTCTCTCATGGCTGTGGATACATCTCCTCCCTACTTAGAAGCAGGGCTCTGCCTCCTGCTTCTCTCTCCCTTGTGAGCTTCTGTGATGCTGGAGTTGCGTGGACACCTGGTCAGTGTGAGGAGACAAAGGATGCAATCCCATCTCTAGAAACATCCCTGGATCCCATTCTGTTATACCAAAAGGCAAGCACTCTAGTCTCCCTTTAGGCTCCACAGTCTGAGAAATATTCTTCCTTGACTTAGAGCTGATTAGCTCAGAGTTCTGATGACAAACAAAAGTTACATCCTCAGAGCTGAGGAAATAGCTGTGCATTTCTGCAATGGCAGCAAGAATACAGTGCTGCAGAGATGCCCGCTTCCCATGTAGAGACCTGGCCCCAAAACAGGAAAGAGCAGAGAGGGCTAAAGAGCCCAAACACATCTGAGATGATTGAAAGACGATTTCTAAGGACAATCCTTCCCTCTACTGACCCCGAGCAGGTCTTGGTAAGACAGATCTGACCACTCTTTGCCCCTGTCAGCTGAGTAGCCAGGATATCACATGTCCCAGCATCTTGTAACAACAGGGAAATAATTCAGATTCCAACCTCCTTCCTGCACCACAGTGACTGACCTCAGGAAACTTGGTCCTTCAGCAAAGACCTCTGTCTTCTCCTGGCCAGGTCTGGCCTGGCAGGCTTAATTCACCATTAATGTGACTTCTTAATCTACTAAAAGGGGAACATATGACTGCAAAGTAAGCATACTAATTTTACCTGAAAAAGTCAGCACTAAGTAGTAACTGAGGACTTTTGTTCCCTAATAGTCTTAAGTTGACAGATGGTAGAACAAATCTTTGGTGCCAGGACTTGGGGTCCTAGTGGTTTTCATATTTCAGTTCCCAGTTACCCAGGGTATACGAGAGTCAATGAGCTCCCCTGCATCTGAGATGGTCTGCTATGAGTTTATAAAAGAACTTGTCGAACAAGCATAGGTAAGTTTGTTTGCACAAGCAATTATGTCTGTTGCTATGGGAATTTCCAGTTTAAAATATGGTATGTTGTTTAACCTGAATGAATATAAGGTCTATAAATGCAATTCTGATATTAGGACATTTCTTGATGTTTTGAGCTGGGCAAAAAGGAAAGAAGAGGGGATGTTTGTAAATTTAGGAATTTATATAATATAAATAAATAAATATAATATATAATCCCCTCGGAGGAACACAAAGCGAAGATCATGACTCATCGACCTTATGGGCTCTAATTTATAGAGAGAATATAATTAAAAGGAAACAGAGAATCAGAATTGCTTTCTGGAGCTAACACTCGGGTTGCCCTGACAGCATTTTCTGAAACTAGGAACCTAAGGGCACAGATCTATTCAGCAGCCCAGTTTTGGGCTGACAGCAGACAGTTTTGGGACTCATGCACTTGGAAGTTAGATTTGAGATCCTTGCAAAAAGTAGGGACTCTTGAAGTTCTGTACTCTCCATCCAAGCCTCTCAGGAACTCCACAGATTAACATTAGACAAATATTCTCCTACTAAAAACATTAACACAAAACCAATGAGGAAAAGTGACCAGAAACAGTAAACATTTGAAATGGACAGCCATTTGGCATTATAACATATGAAAGTTTGAAAAGTTATATTCAAATCAATACAAGAAGAAATTGAAACATGAGCAAGGAAAAAAAGCTGATGTTAAAAAACATCAGCTAACAAAAAAAGCATGAAGTAAGATATCTAGAAATGATTGACATAATTACAGAAAAGAATAATGGATAATTTAAACAGCAGAGTAGATACTCTTAAAGAGATTATGAATAACATAAAATACAGATCTGAAAAAATTACCCAGAATGCAGCATGGAAAATTATATGTGAAATATGAAAGAGAAATTAAATGACAGGGAAGAAAAAATAGGAGTTTCTAGTTTATTAGATCATACATAATATTTTATTCAACTTCCTCTTTGTTCTAACATATAATTGAAGTTTCAGAAAGAGAAAAGTTATGGTATGAGACTTTGAGAATTTTCCAGATGTGATTAAAGACATAAATCCTCAGATTAAAGACAAGAATCCAAATGAATCCCCTGTAAGGATAATAGATACATCATAGTGAAATTGTAGAACATGAATGACAAAGAGAAGATTTTGAAAGCAGCCAAAAGAAAAGACAGATATCTCCCAAAGGAATAATTAGACTGAGAGCAACAGTGAAAGTCAAGAAAGAGGGTTAAAAGTAACAATTAGTATTATGGTCCTTATTCAATTAAGAATGAGGTTAATTAAAAAATGTTTCCATGGGGGGAAAATTAAAAAAAAATAAAGATCTCAAAATTATACTTGAGAGAGATGGAAAATGATCCCAGGAGAAAGGTATGGAACACATACGTGATGGAATCAATTTAATCTGATAGTCATGTCCTCAAATCTACACAGACTGACTACTGCAACTAGTGTCTAATACGGGTGCTAATATTAAAATATCTTTGGCATACAAGGTGAGACAAATTAATTGAACTGAAAATGTTCATATTTTCTTATTTTGTTTGAAAAGAGTGGAGATATTCAATAGACTTTCCATTGTGTGTGCTTTAAAAAAATAAAAGTAACCATTAAAAGGCAGAAATAAGAGTATATAACTTCAATACAGAGTTAGAAAAGGGAATATTGAAGTCAAATTAATTCAAAGAAGACAGAGAAGGAGAAAAGAGAGAATAAAGAGAACAAAAGAGAAAGCAGGACAAATATAAAGCACAAAAAATACTGTTAGAAATAAATATGAAAATATCATTAATTATGTCAATATTAGTGGGCATTGCTTGTTAAAATGTTGACAGTTTGAAATTGTCAGACTACGTTTAAAACATCAAATTATATACTATTGAAAAGAGAAACATCTAAATTTTAAGGACACAGAATGGTTAGAAAACCCTAACCAGAAGAAATCAGATGTAGCCATTTAAATATAAAAAACACTTAAAGCAAAATGTATCATTATTGCTTTTCTAAATTGGTAGATGTTAACATTTAGTTCTGTTACTTTAATGACTACAAAATGGGCAAGTTGCACTTCCTGCTAGAAGATTAAAATTCTAACAAACATGTAAGTATAAGAAATATTGCTTCAGATACCAAAATGACAATATTAAAATGAGAAATTAACAAACATGCCATTGTGCTAGAAGATTTTAACAAGAGTTCCTTCATAAGTGATACATCAATAGACAGCATGTTGGTAAAGACATGTAACATTTGAACAATACATTTAATGAGACCAATGATAGGAAAAAATATAAAATCCTGCACACCCAAATTAGGAAAAAAGTTCCCAATTGCATGTTGAATATTTATATAAAGTGACTATTGATTAGGCCAGGAAGGAGGTCCCAATCAGTTCTAAAGTACTGGTATCATAAAGATAACCTTCTCTGAAAATAACACCTTAATGATTAAAGGAAAAAACAAAAGATAAATTTTTAAAAACCACGGATTTATACATGTCAAAACATAATTCCAAATAAATCCTAGTTTAACCAGAAATCTTAATAGGAATTTTAAAATGTTTAGAAATAAGAGATACTGAGAATACTACGTATCAATAAGTAAGTGCTGCAGCTAAAGTCGTCCCTTGAGGGAAATTTCTAGAAGTAAAGGATAATGAGTGCAGAAAAATAATAACCTAAAGATTAAGCTTAGGATCCAGGAAAGAGTACAGAATAATCCCCCCTGAAGTAGAAGAAATACAATCAGAAGTATAAAATATACAAATAGATGAAACAAAAAGCAAACTATATTGAGACTCGATAATGACAAATGTTTTGGAAACTAATAAAATGTACACACAAGGCAGGACTATGAAGAAAAAAATGTGGTAAATAAATTATATTAGGAATTAAAAAGAAGAGATAAGTAAAAATGGAAGAGAGCTCAAACTGTAAAAGAATACTATGGGGCCAGCCCCAGTAGCCTAGTGGTTAAGTTCAACGCACTCTGCTTCGGTGGCCCAGGTTTGGTTCCCAGGCTCAGACCTGCACTGCTCCGTTAGTGGCCATGCTGTGCTGGCATCCCATATACTGAAAAATAGAGGAAGATTGGCACAGATGTTAGCTCAGGGCGAATCTTCTTCGCAAAAAAAAAGAATACTATGAAAATTGTCATTAAATTAGAAAGAAATGAGAATATATGAAATAGTAACGTAACTGAATCAATAATTGATGTCCACCCACCTCCCAAAACACTAGGCATGGACAGTTTACAGTTAAATTTTACCAAATGATCAAATAGTAGATAATTTCAACTTTATATAAAATATTATAGAGAATAGAAAAAGAAAGAAAGCTTTCCAACACATTTTGTGAGGCTGTTTTAAACTGCTCTTGAGCAGTACTACCATCTCTTAGGACCACAGCCCTAAGCAGGAAGATAGGGAGGCCCCAGTGCTAACCTGATCCTACTGTGGGTTCCATAAATTTATACACAATTGTCCCTTTCTTCTTGGAAGAAAGCAATTACAGGAACTCGAGAAGATGTTTTATCCCTGAATCCACTTTTCTTAGACTGTAATCATTTCCCAAGTAGACTTGTAGGACTGTCTCTAGCTTCCGTCTCCTTCACCCACAGGCTCCATGTATGGAGTCACCCAGGCTCTGGGACACCCAGTCACACGGGTGGGACGGGCAATAACACTTGGAAGAGAATAGTGAAATCATAAGCAGACACTTGTGACAATGTTCCCACAAGTCAGCCAAACATCTTACTCTATACATCTGAATGGTCTCCCCATTATGGGGGACTCAGCAGTGCTGCTTGGAGGAGCAGCAAAGACACAGAGCTACAGAATGTTCTCCTCCCGGACCCCACAGCCTTGCTCTCAACCATTCAGTCTTCTCTGATCCTGCTCCCGCTCACCCCTGAAGGAAATGGGGGTTAATAAAAGTGGCCAGACATTAATGGCTATAGAACATTAGATGCCTGATAACAGTGAAAGGAAGAGTTAAACTGCCTATAACACAGCTTCGTAGGTTTCTAGAAGGACAGTTAAATTTATTATTGCATATTACACACCAGTGTTTTAAAGGTCAATGAAGTTGAGTCTTCTTCCATAAATAGCTATAATGAAACTTTTTTTTGGGGGGGGGTGGAGGCGGATTAGCCCTCAGCAAATATCTGTTATCTATCCTCCTTTTTTTGCTGAGGAAGATTGGCCCTGGGCTAACATCTGTGCCCACCTTCTTCTACTTTATGTGTGGGACGACTGCCACTGCATGACTTGATAAGCAGTGTGTTGGTCCACTCCCAGGATTTGAACCTGCAAAGCCCAGGCTGCCAAACCTAACCACTATGCTACCAGGCCAGCTCCAGGAACCTATTTTTTAATTCATGGTGACTTACAATGACATGAGGCTTTGCTCTGGGCTGTGGAGACATAACACTACGTGGGGATTAATGAACACAGAGAGGGCAATTGGTCTTTGATCTGCAGAAGGAATAGCAGTTTCCAACTGAGTTATTTTCCCAGAGCATCATGTCACCTCTTGTCACTGTCACCTTCTTATCTGAATATGTCACTGCATTCTAGGCAAAGCCATGTCAAGCCCACAGTGCCCAAGCTTGCCTAAGAAATGGATAATGTTGAGCATGTGTGACTAGGAGGATGGAGGGGAGGGTGACAGAAACAGAGATGCTCACAGGAGATCCTGACTTGCAGAGAAGACAATGAATTCAACTTTGGTACGTTGTATAGGAGATGCTGTTGACTCATCCTAGTCAAAATGCCCAGCAGACAGAGGAGTGATAAGTGGATGTAAAGATAAACTTAGAGATAGAATGTGAGACCACTGCATCCAGACAGCACTGGAGCAGAAAGTGACGACCTGTGCATTGATTTTGTTAAAAAAGGAGTTTATAAATATTTAAATTAATCATCCAAGTATGTTATAATATAAATCATGTGTCCTTCAGGTTGTGAGGATTGACAGAGGCAGTGATGTCACTATGGGAACTGCCTTGTGGGGACAAGGGGCATCCCCCCTGCTCCTGCTCACAAGGGCCCTGACCTGGTGACCCTCCTGTTCCCACCCTGACCCTGCCATAGGCTCCAGGCCCCTCTGCTGTGTGACACTCTGTCTCCTGGGGGCAGGTAATTCCTTAGAAAACCAATAGTTTCAGTGTGTGTGTGTGTGTGTGTGTGTGTGTGTGTGAGAGAGATGATTACAATTGTTTTCCTCCTTACTGTTCCCAACTTCCGTCCCCACAGGTCACACAGGTGCTGGAGTCTCCCAGTCCCCTGGCACAGGGTCACAGAGAGAGACCAGGCTGTAGCTCTTAGGTGTGAACCTATTTCTGGTCATGCTACCCTTTATTGGTACTGACAAACCTTGGGTCAAGGCCCACAGTTTTTGATTTACTTCTTGAACAAGAACGCATCAGACACATCAGGGATGCCTAATGATCAGTTATCTCTGCTGAGAGGCCTGAGGGATCCTCCTCAACTCTGAAGATCCAGCCTGCGGAGTGAGGAGACTCGGGCATGTATCTCTGTACCAGCAGCTCAGCTACAGTGTGGCACAGTCACCTCCTTCCTGTTCACAAACTCCTTATTTCTCACTTCTTGCAGTTCCTAGAGACCTTAAACAAGCTATTCTTTGCCATTCATTCCCCAGCAAAAATAAGTAGACTTGGACATCTGTCCTTTGGGTAGAGAGACCATAGATTCACTCCTGAAATACTGTGGCTGTGAATGTCGGTGGATGGAAATAACTATGGCTCATTGGGTTCTAGGAGTCCCAGAGCCAGCTCAATCCTCCAAGGCAAGGACTGAATGTCCTGGACACAAACTGTCTTCTGTAGGACTTTAAGATCACTGCCCACTTACACGCCTCTGGCTCTGTGCAGTGAACAGCGTCTCCTCTGCCTTTGTTGTCTCCATCTGGCAAGTTTACCTCCTCAGGCAATTTTTTTCTTCTAAAGACTCTTCTACCCCTGTCACCTTGTAAGTTTTCTGCAAACAGTACCAAGTCTGTCTTCCTGTTGGAAGTAAATGCCTTTACTACTTTTGTGGTGGTTCATTGATAAACACAATATTGATATTAGTAAGACTTCATTTCCTCTGCTCGTTTAAGCAGCCCATTTCCTCTGTTTTCATTTTCCCACTCTCCAGTCCTGAGAGTTAGACAAAAGCATACTTTCACAACTGCTCCAGTTTCCTCTGATTCCCTGAGTAAATCTGATTTCTAGCGACTGAGTGTTTTACTTGGTGCCCTAGCCTTTGATATGAAATAATTTCCCTGAGATCTCTAACTCAAGAAGAGGGGATATTTTCTTTATAATAATGCCCCTATTCCTTTTTATTTTATATATTATATATTGTTATATATTATTTGTTATAAATAATTATATTGTGATGACACCTTGCAGCCATCTGTGGGTGAAGCTGCAGTTTGTGTCTGTGAAATCTACAGCCATGGTCAGAGCTGTTATGAACATGGATCGTAGGTTCCTGGGAGTCCTCAAAAACAACCCCAATGCTCCAGGACTGTGATTGAATGTCACAGACTCCGGCATGACAGAGGTGCCCTGAGCCTTGCATGGTTGGTAAGGGGAATGACAGTCTCCCCAAATTCACTGATCAGAGATATGCGGGCTCAGGACTCCAGATTTCTTTCCCCAGGGAATGAGTGTCCTCGGAAGGGAGATTTCCTGGTCTTACTTTAATTGTGACATCAGCAAAGCACTCCTTGCTTTGTTGTCCTGTTTCTCCCAGGACTGAGGAAGGCCAGGGCACAGGGGGAATTCCTGGTCCTTGGAATGCCATTCCAGGGGCTTCCTTCCTAGACCTAGTCCCAATTTTGGCCACTTTTCTCCACACAACCCTGGCAGATTCAGCGCCCTTATAACACTACTTTGCACCAGTGTTTTCTTATCTCCCACAACTCCTCTGCTTCTTCCAGAATCATCTCTTGCCTCCCTGCTGCTCAAATCAGCAGATATATATTGTACAATTTATTCATTTTGTATAGAGCATCCTTTTCTGATCTTAATTTGATGCATCCTTATTTTCCCCATTAGGTAGCGTTTCCTCCATGATTGTTTATTGCCTTATAAGATGACCTATATTTTTCTTATATTCCAATTTTACCTTTTATTCACGCACATTTGGCCCCATCTTGAAGAGGATCTCATTATCTTCCCAGGCCTTTGCTGATCTATATTTTGGAGAGAACATTGATTGTCATTTTAGGGGGGGCGGAATTTTTGTTTATCTTTAGTAATGGAGACAAAAGAATCTTCTTAACTTCAGCTTCTTTGTTTTTCTTCTTATTTTAGACTAAATATTATTTCCTTCTTATTTCCTTCCATTCCTCCCATTCTACCCCTCTCCCTTTCAGAAGATAGTTAAGGTAAAAGACCTCAGTTGGGCTATAACTGCCAGATAATATGATAATAGTTAAGTAGAATGAGGGTGGGATTTTAAGCATGGTAACTCAAAGGAATAGAATCAGGGTTAGAATTAGTGTTGGGATTAGGGTTTAAGGAAGTTGAGCATAAAACTTGCAGAATACTACTTTTGGAATATTCTCCCTGCTGACCATGCAGACACTTCCCAGCATCCCTTGGGCCATTGCAGAAGAAAACAGTGATGAAACTTCAGTTATTGTCCACAAGATGGCACTGTGACGCCACTGAGATCTAAGGGGCTCTGAGGAGAGTCTGGGAGAACTGCCTAGGAGGAAAGGGTTAAGAAAAATTTAGGTGTGGATCCTATATTAGGCAGATGTTGAAGAAGTTTTCAGTTATTGCTGGGCTCCCTTCAGCTATGGGAGAAGTGGGAGGTCCCTCTCAACTTGACTGAGATCCACAGTTGAAGGAATTGGGCGAGGCAGCCTTGATGTCAGGGGCAGGTGCACAATAGAGCAGCTGTCTCAGAGGAATGTGGGAAACCAAGGGGGTGGGGTGCACCCTAAACTCAGTGCATGGCGGCTACACCCCATGTTCCCTGCAGGCTGCGCTAAGCAAGGCCTCTGAGAGGAGTAGCTGACCCTGCCTGAACCAAGTCAGACGGGACCCTGTACCAGGGAGAATCTGCAGGGGTGGCAGGTAGTGACATCCCAGGCAGATCCCTCTGTCCATTGGAGAAGAGCCTCTGAGCTCGCTTTCTCAGTCCTATGGATCAGAGCATTTAGCTGGGACAGCCTCCTCTCGCCCTGACCCTGCCATGAGCCTCAACTTCTTTTGTGTGACTCTTTGTTTCCTGGGAGCAGGTGAGTTCTAGACCCAGCTGGAAACCTCTGCCATGGGTTTGCAAAGTCCCGGCTCCAAACCTTTCCCTTTCCTTTGCTGATCCAGGTTACTCCTTAAGCCTTATCTTTACCTTATGTCTGCCTCTCCTACAGGCCCCATGGATGCTGCAATCACCCAGAAGCCGAGATACCATATTATACAAAGAAGACAGGAGATGATCCTGGAATGTTCTCAGAATATGAACCGTTTGTCAATGTTCTGGTATCGACAAGACCCAAGGCAGGGGCCAAGGCTGATCCATTATTCAAGTGGTGTCGGAAGGACTGCGAAAGGGGATATCTCAGAAGGGTACAGCGTCTCCCGAAACAAGACGGAGGATTTCTCCTTGACCCTGGAGTCGGCCAGCATCAACCAGACTTCCCTGTACCTCTGTGCCAGCAGTGAATCCACAGCGCTGCACAGCCAGCTGCCCTCTGCACAAAAATGGCAGCCACACTCCTTCCTGAGGCCCCTGTCTCACCAGGGGAAAAACTGCCTCTATGAAGTTCTCAGCATACTTCCCAGCAAGCGGATCTCTGTCTGAGGGGCGCTGTGAAGAGTGAACCTTAGTGTGACCTGAGGTCCTTCATCAGGAAGAGTGTGTGTGTGTGTGAGAAAGTGCAAACAGCACTTAATGTTATTCCACTCAATTCAGAATATTCTGGTAATGAGTAAAGCAGAGGAACAGCAGTGTCCAACATGAAGTTTACATTTCATCTTCTTTTCGGTGGAGAAGAGTAGAGCAGCAAGCAGCTGAGCTTAAACTCCGAGTGATCTGGATTCTCCAGGTCTAACACTGTTATGTAAAGTTGCCTTGAGCTTCAAAACCATTGAATACCAAGCAATGGTTCTCTGCAGGAAAAAAATTCTCAATAACAAGTTATAAAACATGCAACTAAACAAACCACTTAAGAGAAATGTTAGTAGATGCATCAAAAAGCAACATTAGACCCAAACGAGATCAAGTGTAGAGTTAGCAAAAAGAGACTACAAACCAGGTCTCTACCTGTGGGCACAGAGCAGGGTTTGAGTCTTCTGAGGTTGTGGAGGGCAGATTAAGGGAGGAAGCTGATTCTTACCATTCCTTTGGCTTGGATTAAGATTCATGAGCTCCTCGATATTTTTTTCTTGTAAAATATTAGAGAATGATATGGGCAATAATGTCATTCTTCCTTACCCTGTATCTCTCCTTGCCTTCTTATTGGTAGAAGTCTGCACCCAATAGCGACGTTTCTTAACTTGGGATCCATTAACTCGGAGACTGGGAAGTCCACAGTTGTGCCTCACGGGTCATGCAAACCCCCTGTGCGGCTGCCCCATGAGCCCCTGCTGTGCCCACGTGCTCCCTGGAGCCTGCCCAAGAAGTGCTGGCTCAACAGGACCTGCTGCAGAGAGGGGAGCAGGCTGCTTGCTTGGTGAATCCTCTCTTCACTAATCTACTGAAAGCCTAACAA